CAATAAATAATATAAATATGAAAATAATATAAATATTTTTAACTAAATCAAGTCATATTCGATTCATTCTCAACACTTTTGAATCACTGTGCTGTTCGATATGTAGGAAAGCGATTTGGAGTACATGTTGTCGCTGCCCAAGCAACAGCAGCAACAGCAACAGCAGCGCCAACACAATTCACTGTAGCAATGTAAGTGGCTGGCTGGTGAATCTGTGGCAGCGGCAATTGTAACGGGACAGCATTTGACTGGGCTTTTAGCCACGCTCATTTTGTGGCTGGCGCAAAGCCCCATAATCAGAAAGCTTTTGCACTTTATTTGTGTTAGTTTCAATTATATAAACAACGGCAGCGGCAGAGGTGTAGGCAGAGAGAGAGAGAGAGAGGGAAGACCCAATTACCGCTTGATTTAGCACACGCACACAACTGCAAACAGACTTAAGCATCACTCACACACACACACGCATACTCTGACAAACTTATTGAGATTCATTGAGCAGATTGCGAAGCTTCCCTTCAGCTGTGCAACGTAACCCCAAAAACAGCAACAAGGCTGCCAACAAGCCACCCGCCCCACGCCCCCCACCGCCCCCTCGCAATGGGCAGATTTGACAGGCAGACAATAGCTAATGCTTCAGCTGGCAAATACAAATACAAATACACACACACACACACACACACACACACACTCAGTTGAATTATGTGCGTGTGTGTTTACTTTGCATAAAAGCTCAGCCATTGAAAACTAAAATACTGCACAGCACATTGAGACTTTGTATTGCATAGCATTAGGCGGTGTTTCATTTATATTTTATGCACACACACACACACACACACACACACATGCATGCCGTAGCGTTTAAGTGCGTCGTTTTATCGTCCAGCTTTCAGTGTGCATTTTAGCTTAATAGTTAAATAAACAACAATTTCCTTCTGGCAACTATTGCCATTTGGCTTATAAACATGGAAGCTCCCCTCCCCCCTTCCCCCCTTCACCCGCTGGCCAGTCAGTTTCCCGCCCCCCGGCCCTGCAGCCAAAAGTCCAGCACAAACACAAATACAAATTTTCTTATGTAATTGAAATATTTTATTTATACATACATATTTACATACATACATACATACATATATACAATTTTTGCTCCTCTCTTATTTCGGTTCGATTTGTATGACAAATACTGTGTCGTTCGATATGCAAAAATGCAAACGATTCCATTTTGCTTTTGCGCCAATTGTGGCATGGTTTATTTTTCTTTTTCAACTTTTATGCAATCGAGCTGTGTGTGTGCGTGTGTGTGTGTGTGCTATCAAATATAAGCGCGCGCCTTAAGGCATGCAGCGCGCAGGCAGCGGCACTGCGGCACCGCTACGCGCCGCCAGGTGGCGCTGCTGCAGCCGACTGACGAATGACAGCTGAAAAGCAAACGCGCGTCTGGGCCACATTCGCACAGTTGCGTGCACAAACAAACTGAGCCGCTGCTGTTGCTGCTGTCGCTGCTGCTGCTGCTGCAATCAGCGCCTAATGCAATCGTTAGGTAAACACGCATTTTCACAGCTCTGCCAATTTCTCCAGCACCCGCAGCCGCACACCCACCCTCCCTGCCCTGTCCTTGCGCTTGTATTTTATTCGCCATGTTAACATGCCGTCTGCATATGTTTGCCAAAGATTTTTTTTTTCCATTTTTGCCTCGATTCTGTTTTTTTGGGAAAAAAGTTAAATTTTCCTAATGGCATTTGCTACACGAGTCAAACACGCCAGCAGCAACAACAACAACGACGACAGCAGCAGCAGCAGCAGCAGCAGCAGCAGCAACAACAACATCGACACCTACGCCGGCTGCATGCGAGTGTGACAGATATTTTAGCATATTAGGGGCGTGTCTGTGCATGTGTGTGTGCGCGCGTGTGTGTGTGTGTATTTGCGTACATTTGTTTGCCTCTGACTCTGCCTCTGCCTCTGCCTCTGCTGCGCTATGGGCGCCAGCTTCCTGGCCCTGATTTTGTTTCTATCGCCTGGTAATTCGAATGCTCCTCGTCGCTGGCAGCTGTCGCTAACATCCGCACTCGCATCCGCACTCGCATCCGCACTCGCATTCACAGTGTTTGCACATTGCGTTGCAGCAACTCGCCTCTGCTGCTGCCCCATGTTTTCGAGCGGGTTCAGGTCTGGGTCCAGCAGACTTCGTTCCGGCCATTCACAGTTGGTGAACTGTCCAAATCTAACGGCTAAGCACTACTGCTAGGCAGTGGCTCTAACACTCGTTCGTGCTTCGTGCATGTTTTATTAGATATATATCGCGAGCTGCTGAAGCTCTGCCCCTGGAGGAGCAGAGATCTGTGAGCTGGTAATAATACCAGCATAAGCTGGCATTATATCTATTCACATATAATTCTATAACATCTCTCTCCCTCTCTCTCTTTCTAACTCACCCTCGCCCTATTCAATTCACTCTTTCCCATGTGTTTAATATATCTTCAAATGAAAAAAACACCAAACAATTTTAGTTTTTTTGGTTTGTTTTTTGTTTCGATATTTTTTATATATTTATGTGTTTCTTTTTGTTTGTTTTAGACACCAACAGAAAAAAAAAATTAGATCTATGTACATGCATTACATTTACTTTACATTAATATTTTGTTATTTGTATTTCGATTTTTTTTTTTTATTTTTGGTTTTTTGTTTTTGTTTTAGATAACATAAATAATATGCTTAAATGCTAGCAAAAAAATTGTAATTCTAATGTATAAATATACTCGTATATCTTTGAAAATGTTTCATTTAGCAGCATTTAAAAAGCAACACATTTTTTCTTTCTCTCATTTTTTTCTTGTTTTTTGTTTTGTTTTTTTCGTTGAGCTTAATTTAAATTCAAATGCAGCGCAGCAATTCACAACGTTTAAAATTAAGCAGCGCATTTTAATGGCTTTCCACGTGGGGTATATACACAGAGACAACTACAACGAGGCTTCACATAAAATATAATAATAA